TAAGATAATAAATAGACAGTGAGTATCAGCTGATATAATATTTGTGAAACAGCCGAGCTGCATTTGCATCACATCAATCAGATCAAGGAAAATAGGTCCTCATAAATATATGCAACTGATGTCGCAAGCACATCAATAAGAGGTGCACCTCGTCTGACACAAACATTGGTACGCCTGCAAGTTTTAGCCGTAAACATCCTTTTTTTGCTATCCCGTGGTCCTTTTGAGCTGATAGTCGCGTGTTCATGAACGCGTGCAAGAGGATGCCATTATCTGTCGTCGTGATGGCATTGACGTTAGTTGGGCCTGACAAGGCATATGCATTGATCTCTCTTGAAGATGTCAGCGGAAGAAGGCGGCGGCGGATTCATCAGTGTGCGCATGGCAACCTGGGGTGGCCACCGGATTAGATGGTGTGCGTGGATGCGCCAGGGCACTCCACAAGACTTGTAGGTGTAGCGATTGAGGTCGCCAGAAAGGTGGCTTTGGGTTGATCCATGTATCTACTTTGTCAAACTCTATTGAATAATTAATAAATATGGTTATGTGCATTACTCGATGCAGAGGCCGGAGATAATCCTCATTTTTGAAAAAAAGTTGTCGACAAATCATAAAGAAGCAACTCTAATTTAAGCCATCTTAATCTCCGCAAAAAAAATATTGACTTGCTTTAGAAAAGTTCAGCCTTGTTTTCATAGCTAAAGTAATGATTATCTGGAGTATAGCAGATCGGTTATATTTTCCGCAAGATAAAAAAAGATCAGTTATCCTTGTCACAACTAACTCCCCCTTTATCACTTTTTTTAGCCCTGGCTGTAGATCAATTGTTCTATGGTATTTTTCATTAAATAAAATAGGTATACAGAGTTACAAAGAAACAAAAATAAAAAGAACTCCCTTTATCACTTTTGCTTTAAACTCCCGCAAAAATGCTAAGGTTATGTATGTTAGGCATCTCCAACGCAGATTACCAAACGGACATTATCAAATGTTGCCGACAGGTCCGGACATTCATGGACATCTCATGAGGCAGAGGCCATCCAACCGTGATCACCAAATGTCTAGCCCATTTCAAACAGATCGAACACAAAGACAGACGAAATTTAAGCTAAATGAATGAAATTGAAGCAAGTTCCGGATATTGTATGCAAACAGATGATATATTTAACTAGTTGAACCTAAGCCTAAACTAAAACTAGGCCATCTATCGGGCAATGACTTCATAGGCATGGCCACTGAGGCTACCGGCACCTCCGCCGTCGTATGGTCCGCCTTCATTGTCGCATTAGTGGCGGGAGGCATGTCAGGCGTTGCAGCACCCCTGCCGGCCCACCACGGTGCGCTCGCAACGCAGATGCTGTCACATCCTCAATCGTCTCGCGACGCTTGCCTTTGGCGGCCCGGGCGAAGAGGGCACGCTCGGACTCTACCAGCCCCACTTGGAGGAGCTGCGTGATGACGGCGCCAATGGAGGGGCATCTGACTCGACAGTGGTCTTGGACCGGTCGATGGAGCAAGCCTCCACGAGTGCAGGGTCCGCGAGCACCCAGGCCGGTGCCACCTAGGTCTTAGGGCGTGTTTGGTTGCCTGTATAGGCCTCGACCAGGCCCGCGCGGGAAGTATCCAGCCTGTTTGGTAGCCCGCATACACTATTGGGCCTGCATCGTACACTTCTTAAAGCACCTTGGGCCTAGCTCACTAGAAACGCACGAATCGGCAGTTTCTCCAGGGACAGGCCCGAGCGGTGCACGTGGGCGGCTGCAGCTGCACGCGCGCGGCCACGCTCGAGAAGCCGCGTTGCTTCCCGAAGCGCCGGCAATTATTAGCCTCACCGCCCCTCACCGCTCCCTCTCCCCACTCTTCCCCACTCTCTGAACTCTCACCGGCGGCGGCGGATCAGAGCAGAGGAAGAAGACCACCGAACTCCATCATCGACGGTGGCAGATCGGAGCAGAGGAAAAAGACCACCGGACTCCATCAATGGCGGTAAGAACTTCTCTCTCTTCGACATGCACGCTTGATTCGATCCACGGCGATAGATTCGATCCACGGCGGAGGGGAATGGGGAATAGAGGTAGATAAGCATAGGGGTAGTTCATACTAGTTCATAGCAGTTCATACGAGTTCATACATGCAAGATCAGAATGCAGAAGGTGGATTGCGGGATTGGGGGATTGGGGAATAGGGGGATAGGGTGTACACAACGGACATCGGCTGACCGCGGCGGCCGTCGTGCGGAGCGGCTGGTTGAGCCGCTGGCCTTCATCTTCTTCTTCATCGCCATGCGGGCCGGCGGGTCATCCTCGTCGTCCTCGGCGGAGTCGAGGTCGATCTGCCAGGTAGGATGGCCTGGCTCCGCCGCCCTAGCTGGCATGTGCACTGCTTCTTCTTCCTCCTCCTTAGGCTCCCCGCCGATGACCGCCGGCGGCGCGATAGCCGTCTCCAAGTACACTGCGGCACGGCGGTCATTAGGAGCCAAGTAGGTCTTGTACTTGCACCACTTCTTCCTCTGTTTAGCGTCGTCGAGGATGGCCTGATTCATGGCCCAGCGAATGATGTCAACTGCCATCGCGCCCTTTGTTGGGTCAGGAATCAGCGTCTTCAGCTCTTCTTTACTGGCCTTCATGAGGACTGCATTAGATTCATTCTGCATGTCCGGCATGGAGCCGAAGTTCGAGCACACCTCCATGGTGTTCTCGAACTTGGTGCGGTCACCAGTCGACCACCCAAGGAAGAAGGCCCTCCAGCCAATACCCCAAGGGAAGGGGTTGGCGTTGGAGCTGGAGCTAGAGCTCATGGCGATGGGGAGGAGGAAGGTTGACAGTGAGAGAAGAGAGGAGGTGGGTAAGTAGTGGTGGGCAGGGTGAGTAAATATAGGGGGGTGGAGAGGAGGAGAAGAGTGACAGTCATGTCGTTTTAACTACAAGCTCTTCGATTAGCCATGAACTTTGTGCAGTGCGTGACTCCATGAATTGTGTGCAGATCGAGGAGAGCAATGAGATGGGCACGGAGGTGCTCATGGCCGTTGACAACAAGGGCAAGCAGCCCCTTCACCCAATGCCCGACGAGGTTGTGCTGCCGCCCACCGCCGACGAAGACCCGAAGACGCATGAGGGTGGCGACAACAAGGGCATGGAGGAGCCCCCCAGCAACAAGCGCCGCAACTACGGCCACTACCATCAGGAGGATGGCCCAACTCACTTCTGCAAGGTCATCCTTGCACCGAAGATTGAGTGCATCCCCATGCCCCTGGACTTCACCAAGCACTTCGTCACGGTGCCGACGGAGTTCAAGCTCGGGAACAACACCGGCTGCTCCTGGAAGGTGACGGTCAAGCTGATGAATGACTGGGTGACCCTGGATCAGGGTTGGGCCACCTACGCAGTCGTTCATTATATCAAGATCGGCTACATGGTGACGTTCAAGCTCCTCACTCCCGACACCCTCAAGGTCATCATCTTCGACGACGATGGCATTGAGGTCGTCAACAAGTGCGGGAAGCACGACAAAGCCTTCGCCGCCAAGGAGTAGGGTCGGGCCACCTCTTTCGAGCGTACTATCAAGTCTGCTTTGAAGATGTTTATGGTTTATGCGTTGAACTGTTATGAAGTGTGGTACTGCTTATATCTGGATTATGCTAGTTGATGCTCTGTTTATACTCTGTTGTGCTTACGATGTGTGCTGCCGAAGTGTGGTGGCAACCTCACCAACTAGCCAAAGAGGTTACCACACACCAGGCGTTGTATACAACCAAACACCATGCCTTGGGTTTGTCCACTAACATGCAAGCAACCAAATACCAGGCAGTGTGGTTCTGCCCATGCAAGCAAGAGGCCATGCAGGCAACCAAACAACATGCAGATAGTGCATTTAAAGCTGCATTTGCATATCCAGGTTGGGTGAAGAAGTGTATGCAATGCGGGTACTGTAGCGCACGGCAACCAAACACGCCCTTAATGAATGTCGCCATGCATGTGTGCGCCGAGCCTCCGCCTAGGCTTTGCACTTGCACAATGTGGCGTCGGGACCTTGTAGTAGTGTAGACACGGGGGCGGCTTCAACGATGGCGGGCAGGACGGGTGCTCCTTGTCGACAGGGATTTGGACGTCGTGGTTGGGCAACGGGGACGGCAACTCCTTCAGGCGAAGGTGGCTAGTCTGAGCGACTGCCGCCGAGCAGCTACCATGAACGCACATCAAAGTTAAGAGTGGCAGACGATGCGCGCTAAGATTCATGCTCAAAATCCGTAGTTTGCTGGAAATCACCTAAAATGACGTCAGCTGAATAACATTTCCCTTTGTTTCTCGGTTACGCCTAACAGAAGAAGAATGGCAGGCTAAAAACTGACGTCAACTGAATAGCATTTCCCTTTGTTTTTCAGTTATGCCTAATAGGAAAAAAAATGGCAGGCCTTGTTATTTCAAAACAGAAGGGAATCAACTAGAGTAACAAATATGAGATGCAACATGCTCATTTATTCTCACTTAAAAAATAACCAGCTAATCCCCTGACCACAAAAGATCCGAAAGCAGAGTCAAAGCAACTTCCACCCGTCATGGAACTCGGGCTACATTCCAACTAAACAAGTTGAACAACATAGCCAACATTTTCATGCATTGTCATGGCAACACAGTGTATCAAAATTGAGGTGATATGAACTACATCGGCACCTTCACATCCTACAGGCTACAGCAAACCATATAGTGTCAAAGCACCAACTACACAATTCTACAGAGCGGTGACGTAAATATATATCTCAAACTTTGCTACTTCACTACTCTGGCTTTAGGCATGGTCGCAACCAAACCGAAACGCTGGATCATATGATGTACATTGGCAACTCAAAAACCTTGACGGCAAGGGTACATCTTTGCGCATAATGACCGAACACATGAAGTTCCTCTGTTCCTCAGCCGGTTAACAGATGCTACTGCAGCCGCTTAGGCTGGAGATGACAGGCCAAGGCAAATCAAAAACTGCAATTCCGTGGTGCACATCCACTAGCCATTAATTTGGGGGAAGATTTGCGATATCTTCATAAAAACATCCATGACCTAGCATCATAGACATCCAAGTGAAAGAGAAGCAAGGTGAGTTCGATCATAAAGTTAACATGTGAGCTGACGACCCAACTTAACTAAATTAAAAAATACCTCTTGGTCATTTTGGTATTTTACAATATTCAGAGGGTTCTGCGAGCACTGCATCAACAAGATGCCATGTCAGAATAAGCAAATGACTAGGGATAACTGGATATATCCAATTCCAAATGCTTGCAATTTGAAAATACCATTAACTTTGAGAATGGCAAGTGGGTCCAGGTCCCACATGCCATTAAAACACCAGTGGCATTTTTTCAGCAACACAAGCTTTGTAGTGGCATAAATCTAAATTTCCAAATAACTATGCAGTCCAACAAAGTTTGTACAGAACTTACATCCATGATGGCCGTTTGAATTTTTGGATTCTGGAATGCAACAGCAACTTCTGGGTTCGCCATTATTTTCGCTACAACTTCCTCTGGAGTCATGCCAACTTGAGCTGTACAAGCAATTAAAAAGCTTCAGAATTCACATGTAATCATATCAATTCGAAATCAAATTTAGGAGTCTTGTAGCAAAAATAAAAGCTGATTCAGGGAAGAATGAAGTCGTAAACTCGCAATTCAAATCTCCTTAACAATTTCCATCACCTACCAAGTAGTATAGCAATAACCCCAAAAATAGGAGCACGAGGCAGGCTATGATAGGCATTTATAGAACAAGAAAATAGCAAGGGTACAAAAAGAACTAAAAACATGGGAGCATGCATCGACACTATGCTAGGCATTTAGTAAGAAAATGGTAACGCTATTCGACACTAAATGTTCAATACTCCCTCTGTTCCCCAATCTAGTGCCCAAAGTTTTTTTCACGAAAATTCCACTTTGTAGTGACTAGTGTGTATCAGCACCCGCTGGCGATTCTAGTCCCGCGCCGCACGGACGCACTCGGTTTCCTCTCAATCCTCTCTTTCCTTTGTTCGCTCTATTCCCTCCTCCTGCACGCGATGCGTCGCCTCCTGGAAGCTTGTGCCACCGTCTGAGAAGGCGACAGCCATGCAGGCCGTCGGGATTGGACCAGCGGTGGTGGAAATTCAAGGAGATGGAGGAAGAAGTTGACGGATGGCGCCATGGGCGGGAAGAGGAGTCACCAGATGATGGCGCCACGGGCAGGAGGAGCCACCTGACAATGGTGGCGCTAGGGACTGGCTGGACGCCCTCAACACACAGGAGGTTGGCGTGGTCATGCCCTCTGCCAACGTTGACCTCAACGAAAGGTTGGCCGCTGCCTCCCAACCTCAAGTGTCCGCCTCGGGCGCAACCACGTCACCTCGTCCACAACCGGCATCTCGGCGTCCATGGCCGCTGCCAGCATGCCCGTGTCTGTTGCCAGCATCACCATGTCCACGGCCGGCGTTCTCCGCGTCCAGTGAGAACAAGTCACGAGGACACGCCACCGGCAAGACCTAGCCGCAACAGCACGTTGCCACTTTCTTCTCTACTATTACTGCTTGTGCACATGGGACTAGGACAAACCATTGGTATTCAGAATTTTCTTCATATAAGTTTAGACGGGAAAAAGGTATTGAATGGTAGATAATGGGAAATCACCCACAGAATTCATGATTTTGAATTTCCAAACAGCACCCAACTAAATGTGGAAGTGTTGAATCACTCACCAAACTGCTGCCTAACTTCAGGACTGCTAAGGTCAAAGTTCTTCAAGTGATCAACCATGCGGTTATCCCATTGACCAGGAGATGCGCCCATGTTGTTTCTGTTAATAGCCACAACAATGGTATATAAGAAGGTTAGAGAAGATATGCACAGTATTACGTTCATAGATTGGTACAGTTCAACCCCACACTGCAAGAGGCATAATAGACTGTTACAGTAAGCAACATCATGGGTCATCGGTATGACTTCTTAGCTAACATAAGTTACATAAACATATAAGCAGAAACATATGCACAGATAAGCAGTGCTAAGAATAATTGCATTACAGCATATCCTCCAGTTGCTGGCGGTACATCGGATTCTGAAGCATCGCTGCAAAATAAATTCCCACATCACCATATAAAACAGAAAATAAACTCCAATTTATGTGATACTTAAGTGTTTTAACAAATTCACAGGAGCATACACTTGAATGAATCTGGGTTCCTCATCTCCTCGGGCAAGTAGCTGCAACATGTGAAGAAATCAGCATCGTTAAAAATACTGAAGAGATATAAGTTACACTTAATTTTATATTTTTTATGACATACACACTAGAATAATTTCATACTACCTCCGTCCCAAAATAAATGTCAACTTTAGTACAACTTTGTACTACAGTATAAAGTTGAGACTTGTTTTGGGACGGGGAGAGTATTACTGAAACTGGCACACGCATATGTTGTCCACTATATGGGAGCCAATGCCAGTACGACCACCTCACTAAGCCATGATTGCAGTGCTGAAAAAATACCAATGCAAATTACATAGTTATTTTAAGTTATAGATTTACATCCATGCGGAACTAATCTACACACAAGCAGTTGTCCACCTATAGATTGATGCCAACTAAAGTAGTTAAATTCAGTAATGAATTATTCGTCTGCTAATCAAAGTGTTTATGTTAGCATAATAATCCTTAATTATCCTCATCATCCAGAAAATGAATACATGAAGAAACCCTCTACAAACGGGAGTACCACTTGTGCCATATTGAACACAGATGTTGTGATTCATTAAACCATATAGAACCACTTGGACTCATATATAGATCAGAAACCCATTTGGGCCACAAGCAGCATAAAACAGGAAAGGACCTAGCCACTACATAGGTGTGCTGGGTCCAGCTGGCTCCTAAGGTGCTACATGCGACATGATAGATTCGGTGTGCAGATAGCCAGCAGGACTTATTGAGCCTTACAACCAAATGGTGAATGCATCTACTAAGGAATGAAAATATGAAGGGAAAACATGGCACAGAGTGTTCTAAAAGGCATTAGGTGCTACGCAGGTGGTGCCTAGAGCCTAGTCACAAGCTAGTCATAGGGAGTGGGGCCTAGTGCCTAGGTGGGCAACAGAGACACATTTTACAAGAGTGAGCACAAGATGTAAAGTTGAACTTGGTTGCAACTTACGGGTAAACCATCTTCTGCACAGCTGGGTCTTCCATCATTTTCTCAATTGTATCAATAGATAGCATAGGTCCTGATTTACCTGTACAGCATAATCAGGATCAATTTAGTTCACTTGTACACACATGGAAGCAACTGACAAAAAGAATATTACAACATCATTTTACGAAAATACAGATGAGCGAATAAAATATAAGTCCTAAATTTGAGTAGATAAATGTGCAATTACTAACTGGATTCAGTTGTCCAGGTAGAGGAATCTTCACTCGGCTTAAAAGCAGCACCATTTGTAGGAACCTTTAAGAACCATCGGAAAGTATTAATTACAACAAATTGTACAGGGAGCCTATTACCAAGCTTCTGAAGGGAACTTACTTGTTCAGTATCACCCTTCGTTTCACTTTCAGTGCTATCACTTTTTACATCTACCGTCTGCAATGAAGATTGAAGCTCCTTCTGTTTTTGCAACTCTTCGGGAGAAACATCAACGAAGGCTGCACAGATTTTGTTAACAAAAACACAATCAAATACAGATGCCAAATATCTGAAAAATATGATGCTAAGCACTATTAAGAAAAGAAGCAGCACAGTCGAGCCCATTCAGATCATGTTCACGCTCATTAGTGGTGCGTGTTTATTTCCTAATGTTGTGCTACAAGAGGAGCCCAGAAATAGGACCACAGAAATATAAATTAAGTGCATCAAGAGGTATAAATTCAGCATGTTATAGACAATTTGGCACATAGAAGATCCCATTTGCCACTCAACTGTAGTTGGAGGGGAAAATTTCGGACATGAAAGGTCGTACCAAATTTCTTTGAAGGCTTCGATGTTTCTGCCACATCAGCTGCTTCCGAAGATCCAGTTGCTGCCACTTCAGTAGCTGAAACATCAACAGTTGCACCTTTGGGGGTATTTTTCCTTGGTCCTGAGTATGGGTAACTACTTGGTGCCGTGGAACCTGCCTGTGGTGGCATGGAGAATGGGAATGGCGAGTTCGCACCAAATGTGTTTTGTGGTGCCTGGGTCATCATCGACTTGAATGCTTGTTCCATTGCATATTTCTGCAAGAAATCAGTAAAACATTAAAACAGGAATAGGCACTAGGTAGGCAAGTAAATGTTGGTCATGTACAGCTAAATACATTTTTTTTTATTTAAGTTGATCAACCAGGACTAGCCCTCGGTGGCCTTTGTTTAAAGAAGAGGAAACTTGTGCGGCAGGTAGAGCCTCAAACGCACGGCAAGGCTAGAGACACCAACCTACTCAAGCTAGCAACATATGGTAGCACGCAGCTATACGAGAAATACCATAAAGGCAACAGCAAAGTGTATATGACCAAGGCGACAAACAGAATATTGAATTACTTAAAGCCATGCAGAAACATACTAAGCCATGCAGAAACATACTAAGCCATGCAGAAAGGGATTTATCATAATACCATTTAACGAAATTTGGTGCCCAATGTCAATGAAAATCAAATCTTAAAAAATTCTTTAACATGAAAAGAAAATTAACTGGCCATCAAAGTAAAGCACAATGACACCCTTATCGGGCCAGAAACAAATCTCTGAAACAGCGAAGTGAACTGGTAGAGTATAATACAGATGTGTCGGAAGGTTAAGCAGGTTCAAGCAAAAAACGACTCAATAATTTTACCTCCATGACTCATGCCCAATTATACAAAGGTACACCAATGGGTCATTCTGAGGAACACTGTGCAAATAATTGAGGATACATACTCTTTCTGGAGTGCAGAAACAAAGAATAACTGCGAGCTCACCTTTACCATCGAAGAAACCTGATAAACCAACCACCAAGTATTAATTTACGAAGAGAAGATATGCACAAAAATAAACTAAAGCACAAGAGGAAGCAGAATTTCGCACCATGGAAAATGCTGCAGATAATGCTACACCAACGCCAATCCAGAAAACAGGTGAACCACTGCATAGATTTTGGAACTCGCCATCATGGGAAGGTAAATTTGAGAACAGAAAATGCAGGAAAAACAAAGAGATAAACTCACATATATGATGAGGGAGGCGGCATGGGAGGCACGGTGCCAGTTCCCGTCGATGTATTCTCGGTGCTGGTTGAAGACGATATGCTTGCAAATCCCTTTGTGTTAAATCCATCTGAAACTGATGTAGCAAACAGCATATAGTATGTAAAAATAAGAACAAGGAGGAAGATGCTCACAAGAATATCAAAATGAGTGCAAACCAAAGCAAATTAACATACGATACTTATCAGGTAGTACTGAAACTGATGTAGCAAACAGCATATAAGTATGTAAAATAAGAACAAGGAAGATGCTCACAAGAATATCAAAATGGGTGCAAACCAAAGCAAATTAACATACAATAGTTATCAGGTAGTACTATAAAAAAAATATGGATGGATGAGGTGCGCATTATCTACTTAACAAGTAGTATGTCAGAGACACGGATGGATAAACTGACAATTTCCAATCTCAAGCTATCATGTGCCCTTGCTGCAAATACAAATAGGAGAACATTGTTGCGGATGCACGATGCAACAAGGTCGAATTCTCAGCCGTGGATCTAGCTCACGAAAACCACAGCTCAGAGTCGAGTGCCGCAAACTTTGGCCGCTTGCTCCTTCCTAATCAAAGAGCGCATCGGGGGTCGCATCGCATCGCATCCAAACACAGCACAATTCACGCGGAGGCGACGGAACAAGGCGGTCCCTCACCGTTCCTAGATCCGCGGGACGCGGCGGAGACGACGAGCCTCGGCCGCCTGGCTCCCCTCCGCCCGGCGCCAGCGGAGAGCGGCGCCGCCGAGAGGGGCCGCGACGGGCGGCTGGCGGCGGAGAGGAGGGGCAGGCGGGGAGACGCGGAGCAGGAGGAGGCGAGGACGAGGCTCTCCATCCCGGGCTGGGGGAGGCGACCTTAGCTCCACTCCGGTCTCTGGGTCACGAGGCCTTGTTGCTCTCGCCTCTGGCTGGCGCTAGGGTTTTGGGTTTGCGTGCGGAGAAGCCGAACTGGATGGCGAAACCAAAGCCCTCCCCTCTCTCGCCTTTCGCTGTTGGGGTGGTTCGCGAGCAGGCAGGCTGTAGTAACATAACAGGGGAGGTAGAGCAACATCTATCCACTCGTACAATACAAGCAGGGTTTCACTCCGCACTTTCTGCTGGAAGAAAGACGAGATCCGTGCAAGTGCACAACATTCTGCACCTTGGAATTCCTTCCCACGCTTGGAACAGGGCCTGACGATCCCTACATTTTCTGAGCTGAGCAGGTTTTGGTTGTAATATGTATGTATTCAAAATAGAAGTTGGAACTTTTGATCTAATTTTCACAAACACCTTGCAAAAATGATATTGATACACCGAAAGTTCATTTTCCGCGCACCAGGTTGGCGGAGTATGCTGACATAGACGACTGACGAGATCTGAACATGGAATAAGGATCATGAAAACTTGGAAAACCAAAAATCTGCATACATCTTTTTTATTTGGGAAAGGGCATACACCATCTCAATATCTCTGATTCAACACCGACCAGTCAATAACTACCAGCTTGAGTCATTACATAGTTACAGAGTACAATGGAACACACGAAAGGGCACAGATTGCCATCAGCCTGACTGTGCCAAGGTTTTTCTCTTTTTTGGCAGCGCAAATATTCAGTAAATATAATTGGCTCACATTAACCTCTCATCTCCTGATTATGCATAGCAGAATGGTCATTCTGATGTCTGAGTGTGCTTGCTTGTCAGATGTCGATGTACAGATATTTTGACCACAGAAGCTGAATATATTTATGCCAGGGAGATACATGCATCAACAACTGAAAATGCTGCAAGTCAAAAACAAATGTCAAGTGTATTACGCGGCCCTGATCTTTTGCGTGTTGAGATTATATCTGCATCTTACTTCATGTTTGCTGCTCCTTTGCTCTCTTACGAGCCAGTGCTCGTTCTCTAGCCGCGGCAAGTGCATCATTACTCCTCTTGTAGTGCTCACCGGTGATTGGTGCTGGTTGAGTATTCTGGAGAGCCTGTGAAGCAGATGAGGAAACATATGCCTCTTTCTCAGTAGATCTAGCAGATGTAGAATCTTTCTCAGTAGTTGCAGTTTCTGCCACACTTCCACTTTCATGAGCCTTCTCAGATCCTCCACTGGATTCCCTCCTGCGCTTAGGAGAACGACTAGATCCTTCGGCATCAGACTTGCTACCTTGAATATCTTCTGCTTTACTTTCCAACTTTTCAGGTTCTGCAGCTTCTGTGCCCTCATGTGTCCGTGCACCGAAAGCAACATTCTTAGCAAGCCCAAAGTAAAAATCACTCAAGTCTTTCTTTTTAGTTACCTACATAAAAACAGATAACAAAATTCAAATTAGTTAGCCAAAAGACAAGATAACTGTTAAACATTAGATATATGTTTTCTTTGCAAGGGAGATAAACTTATGTACAAACCAGCTTTTATTGCATTAATGTTGTGGGCAAAGTTAATACAGATTACTCGGAGGATGTTTGTGTAAGCACAAGCCAGCATGTCAAATTTTTGCATGACGGGAAAAGGTAGAAAGTGAGGACAATCCTTAAAAACGAGGGGAAAATAAAATAGAACGTAAGGGGAAATAAAATTATAAAGTGGTACAACGCAGAATTCAAAGGTACAATTGTACCAACTCCCTTCGTTCTCCAGCTCTTCTGGCTGCACAAATGGCACAGCCACACAGCACACTTGCTTGATCAGACAAAACGGCACAATTCAGAATAAGAGTTTCATCATCATCACTCGCGATCATCCGACTTTTTCAAGTTTCCATGCGAATATACAGACCAACCCTAGTACCTACATGGTCATACTTCTGACAGAACAAAGAATGGCATGCCATACCATATCATATACGAACAAAGTAGCATAAAATGTGCAACTTAAAAAACATATAAACTAAGCATGAAGATAAGTAGCATATGTATAAGAAATTAAGAACAATGTATATAATGATAAACAAGTGAGCAAAACTTACATCATCCCTTTCTTCTTGAAGCTGCCGTCGTCTTTCTTCCTCTAGCCATTTTTTCTCCTCTTCAAGTTTCTTCCTGTAGGCAGATGTTACAAACTTGTCCTTGTCAGCAAACAGGTGGTCTTCCTTGCTCCTCTCTTTATGAAGCTTCCTCTCATACACTATGTCCTGTTCTCTTTTACGTTGTTCTGCTTTCTCCTTAAGTGCTTCAATGTACTTTGACTGCGAAAACAAAAGCATGGAACCAGGAACTTAAACAGTTAGATGCCCCAGTAAGAGGTCCAAATATATGCGTCCAATTTAGCTTGCATTATGTGATTCAGATTAATAGTAGGATTTGTTGCATTTGCACAACCCGCCGCACATTCTACATTATGTGCTTGTCTCTGCATAGATGTCTGTTACACATTTAACAAAACCAACAACCTCACTACACCAACGAAGAACCATAAACATACCCAAAGGCATTATACAAACCAACCATGAAGGACAATTTCAGTTAGTCCTAAGCTACATGTTTGGCCTTCAATTATGTCTCAAAAATTAGAAGGCAGATGATCTCTACCTTTTACGCTAAAAAAATGTGATGTTCCAAACATTTATCTGGCAAAACTAGCAGGAACCAATCACCAAGATAGACGCCATTTCCCAAATAACTATCTCAGGCTGATGTTTCTTTCCAGCAAACAGACAAACAAATATCTGGAAATTGCTCCTTACAAATTAAAACTTGAGTGCCCCGGATCAAACTAAGAAACTGGACACGAAACTAACCAGCAACAACATTACACCTCGCCGTGGTATATAATCTCCAGTGTATCCAATTAAGCATAAATGAACCAGACGAGGCGCCCCTAAAAAATTGCATTGGTGCAGGACGGATAATTTACCTCGCGAACAACCTTGGCCTGTATCTTGGGCCGAGCGGCCTTCTCCTTCATATCATCGTACACCTCATCATAAGCAAACACCGAGGGATCCTCCTCCATCGCCTTCTTCTGCAGTTCCTCCACCTGCGCGGTCACACCGTGACGCAAAGAAGAAATCAACCATCTAATGGCCCGACAACAGAGAAGGAGAATGCACAGCATGATTTCCAGTGGAGCCAGGATTGGAGCAGATCCCGGGCTCAAAGTTTATCTGTTTAAGCGCTTATAACTAACCCGTAAAGTACCCTTGTCACGTCATCAAAAACTATAGCTCAATAGCACAGCTATGGTAGAATTGAAATCGAAGTTTAAAGATCCAAGAAAATAGATAAACATGACAAAAATACAAATGGTGGTACAAGAATACAAAAGATGGCACTACCAAATCAATGAGTTACTAGAGCCGACGCTATCAACAATATTATTCGGACTGAGTTGAGCATAAGGTTAATTGGTTGGTTACAGGCACATGTGGATAAAATCTCTTCATCGTCTATTTATATAACTTAACATTGACACAAAATGAACCAATTAATTAATTGTTTAATCCAAGACATAAAAAACAAAAAATGATGCGTAGCAGCATGGCAAATCCATGAGCAGCAAATGTGCATCTGCGCGAGTCAGGGAGCAGCGAGCTCGACCAACAGGCTTGGCTCGGTTCCTCTAGAATCAGGGACTGGCGGGGAGACGAGGGATCGGCGCGGCAGCCAACAAAGGCGGGGAGCAACGGCACAACACGGCAGGATAGCAGAGGGAGACAACCGCGAGGCGGTGCGGCAGAAAGAGATGACGGAGCGAAAGCGCAGAGGCGGCGACCGGCGGGGACTGCGTGGCGCGGTGAGGCGGGGCAGGGAGCAGTAAAAGGGCTCGTGCAACAGAGGGCATGGGATCCGGATGGCTGCTTACCTTCTCGAGGGCGCGTTTCTTCGATGACTGGCGGAGGATGTCGGCCTCCACATCGTCATCGCTGTCGTCGGCGAAGGCCGCCAGGGGGCGCGCCGGAGGTGGCGGTCGAGACGACGAGGAGGCCGCCGGCTTTTTGCGCAGCTGCAGCCCGTACCTCTGCATCCCTGCGTCAGTGGCGAACTGTGGGCACGACGCAGAGCAAACCCTAGCCTGCGAATTTCGGTTTCGCCCCAACTGTGGTAGCTCGGAAGGGGAGCCGCGGCGCGACAAGGACCAGGCAGGCGAGATAGAAACTTTACGCTTCCTTGGACAGATAGCGGTGACCCTGGGCATAGGACGCCTTCGAATTGGAAAGACGGGCTACATATTATTTTGACTTTATCTAAAAGAGGTTGAGATTAAACTTCAACGGAAATCTCATCAGAGAATTCTAGCAGATCCCACAAAATGTCCGGCCGCTATAATAACCACCATTTTACAGGGTCGGAGAGAAAAATCGCCCTGCATAGGTCTTGGAAAAAATTAGAGGAGCGGTATATTTCAGCCCTCCTACCGCATATGCTCAGTCCTCCCTCGGATTTACCGATTCCCCCATCTCTCGTGCAAGTTAGTGGGAGGGACATTTCTGCTACTTGCTTCCTGCCCTCCCTCCCCTCGCCGCCGCCGACGATCTCCCCGACCTCGTGCCTTCTCGCGTCATCACGCCCCCAATTGATGGCATGGAGAACCCACGGTAGTCGCCCGTCGGTTTTCATGCCTCGCATACCCTATCGGTGTTGCCTCGACCTTTTGTGCCTCCCACGGTCGGCTTCCTCGCTGTCGTGCCAACTTCTCCCGCCGCCAGCATGAAGCGGAAGCGGTAGGGCAACCACATCGTCCATGGAGCCGTCCCAGCCGTCGCGCCAACTTTCTTCCGCCATACTCCCTCGAGGACGGGCGCCTCCTCCACCCCCT